CTGTTGACTTTCCTTCTTGGCGCGTGCCCTGGCCTCCATCTCATTCCGTCGCTTAACTACCTGGGCGTTCTCAAGGGCGAACTCGACAATCAGTCGCTTCTTCTTGTCTTTGATCTCCGCCGAGCCGCTCTTAGGGGCCTCCACAGCGTGGCCGTTAAGCCATCTTAGACCCATAAGCGCATGCCGATGCGTGTAGTACTCGATGAAACCGTAGCCGCGGCTTCGGCCTGCTCCGCTCTTCTCGCTGATCTTGCTTCCCTCTCGACTCTCAAAGACAATCTTGGCTTGCTTCACGATACCCTTGCCCTTTGACTTCCGGTACTCCTCTGCCTCTTTCATAGCGTCGGCTGACCGAGCGAGTTCCTCCTTGGAGAGAGGTTGACGTTGACCTTCCTTGACATCTTTCGCGAAGCCGACCACAGCCTGTCGAGCGAGCTGCTTGAGGTCCTTGGAGGTGACGTGACGGGGGATGTTGCGTATCGAGAGACGGGTCAAACTGAAATGTAGGGCCGGGTTCTTCCGGATGAAGTTCTGTCGTTGCTTGAAGCTGTCCTCTCTCATCTTGATCTCGGACGGCGAAAGCTTCTGGTACAGGGAGGAGTTGGGAGAGATAGTACCTTCTTGCAAGAGGAAAAGACGGCGCTTGTCAGTATCACGAACCAGTCGCTTTGATACACCCTCCTCTTCCAGTTGGACAGCTTGTGATTTGCTCACGGCGCGGGCGACTTGGAGGACACGACCGTCCAAGGTATAGCGGCCGCTGGGGTCAGAATTCTCATTCTGCAGGATAGAGTGCTTGAGCGCGGTGGAAGTCTTCTTTCCTTTGTCCTTCTCCGCGATCAAAGTATCTTGTTGTTTCGGGGCTTCGCGCACGCACAATGCGGCATCCTCAACCTTCCAGAAGCAAACAAAACCGGTACCACGGGGACGTTCTGTTTCCGGGTCGACGACAATTCGCGCGTATCGAAGGGGGCCAAATTGTGTAAAGTGCTCGTAAAGCGTCTCGTCTGTACACGTGAAGGGCAGATTTCGAATGAAAATCGTACAAGCATTTCGCTCGTCTTCTTTCTCTTGTCTTTCGTCTTCGTCGCCCTCGTCCTCGTCCTCATCTATATCTTCCTCGTCCTCCTCGTCGTCATCGTCATCATCGCCCATATCCTCATCTTCATCGTCGTCATCGTCGACATCTTCAATATCGGACTTCGCTTCTGCGTCATCTACCATTTCAACGTCGCTCGATCCCGCTTCCTCCGGGGTATCCTCCTTCTTCTCAGACTCCTTCTTCAAATTCTCCCATACTTCCTTTTCTACAGCCCAATCGACCGCCAACGTTCTTCCATCCACCTCTTTGCCGTTGACGGCCTGCAGCGCCTTTTCGGCATTCTTCTTTCCTCGTAAAACAACGAAGCCAAACCCGGCCAGCTGATCACCTTTCTTGGGAAGCGTGACATATTTGACTTTGCCGAAACTTCTGAAATGTACCGCTAGATCTTCTGGTTCTTTGATGCTCCAAGGCAAGTTTCGGACAATGAGCTTCGGGGGTTGGGTAGATGTTTTCTGTTGCTCCCGCTGTTTCTTAAGTTCAAGGGCAGCAGGAGCTGGCACACTTTTCCCGAGATTCTCATCAATCTCACGGTGACGCGGCTGAGCGTAGTCGACTCTGATTTTTTTCCCTTCGAAGACAGACCCCTTGAACTCCTTTAGCGCAGCTTGGGCGTCTTCGAGATCGGCAAAGGTAACGAAACCATAGCCCTTGCACAGCTTCGTTTCCGGATCATTAACAACAATCGCATGCTTGATAACGTAGGATTGGGAGAAGTATTCGGTAAGGCTCTCGGTCGTAGCTGAGGTAGGAAGCGACCGAACGAAGAGGGTCCTTCTTGGTTGCGCGGAGACTTTCTCGTCTTGGACGATATCTTTTTTCGGGGAGTCCATCGTAGTCTGTGTGTCTTGGTGGCCACCACTATTTTCGTTCAGACTTCCTTTGCGTTGTCCTGTCATGGCTGTTGAGATCGGCCACCTTTTTTCTTCGGCCATTTTTTTTCTAGCGGCAGAAAATTCCCGGCGTCAATATTCCAGTGAGAAGCGGGTCCGGGCGGTGAGCACAGCTGGCCCGAACTTTGGCTGCTGCGATTAGATAGACCGAACGGAACCGATAACAGCATCTCTCGAAGCCTTGAGGTTGACGCAAGAATGGCTAAGGACGTCGATACTGATAACGCTGATCCCGACTATGGCCTCCCTGAAAGGAGCGCTACCCCTCGGGCTGCAGGGGACACCTCGAGTTCAGCTACTGCTCAATCTACGGCCCCCAAGGTCCAGCAACCAAAACCGCAGGCGCTTGCCAGCCGAACCGGTCCCTCCGCGATTCTTGTTTCGACCAGGCAAAAGGGCAATCCAATACTGAACCACATCAAATTATTGCCGTGGGAGTATGCAGATATACCCGCCGACTATGTCGTTGGAGCAACCGCATGTGCCCTGTTCTTATCGTTGAAATACCACCGGTTACATCCTGAATACATATACTCTCGGATAAAGGCTCTTGGGGGGAAATACATGCTCCGGATTATTTTGGTAATGGTCGATATCGAAAATCACGAAGATAGCTTGAAGGAACTCTCAAAGACCTCGATCATCAATAATTACACTCTGATGCTCTGCTGGTCGGCTCCGGAAGCAGCTCACTATCTCGAACTATACAAGTCGTCCGAAAACGCTCAACCAACCGCGATCCGCACCCAGCAAGCCCAATCTTACAAGGAGTCTCTGGTGGAGTTTGTTACAACTCCTAAGAGTATCAACAAATCTGATGCAGCGAGTCTGATATCCACGTTCGGGAGTCTACAAAATGCTATCAACGCGCAGCCGGAACAGATCAGTGCTGTGCCCGGCTGGGGCGAAAAGAAAGTACGTCAATGGACCAATGCAGTGAGGGAAGACTTTCGGGTGGAAAATGCGAAGAAAACGAAGGCACCTGAGAGGAACATTGAGCCTGAACAAAGATTTTCTGGCCTCGGCACTGTGAGCCAGACGGGGCCCGTAGATATGGATGATGATGATGAAGCAGCCTTATATCTTTCGGAAGCGGGACAGAGGAGTCGGGTGGAGGCGAAAAAGGGAGCCTCAGAAGTCGACACTCCACAGCTATCCAATCAAGAGGAAATAAGTGAAGGCATTAGCGCAGCCCTTGCGAGACTTCGGGAAAACGGAGGATGAATATTTGAGTGATGAATACTCTGATTGTCAATCGCGATATCATGGACGGCTTCGCCATGTAGCTTGGTCTAGGAGACAGCAGGCTTCCAATCCGTCCCGCGAGGATGCTAGCAACACAGTTCCGAAATTTACGGTGTTCAGTCTGCCTGACAGGAGAACACAGGTGGACTGCTGACAGGCTGGCCAACTCAGCGCACAACGCTATCAGTTTGAAAGGCAAAGCTCGCTCGACCGCTACAATGTGTTTACTTTCAATCATTTTCTCATAGCTCCCTGTCAGCTGCGCATGCTAGCCAAAGCATCCGTTCTTGACCACGAATGGCGGGTCTTATGCGCGAGTCATGAAACCCAGATGGCTTGGGCCCTAGGCTATCTGTCAGCGGGATGGGCCGACATAGTGTTGCGGAATCCAGGGCATTGGGAGACCGGTCAGCCACTGAGAATCAATACCGAAGGCAGCGATCTTTAGTGCAGTTATGCACCTCGTATTTCATGATTCAAGAATCGCGTTTGATTATTTGATGATGGCCCGCGACCCGAACAGTTCGAACCAAGAAGGCTTATATTAAATGGCTAGCCGAGAAGTCTTGCGCGCATTAATGATAAGTAGATTCGATTACTTCAAGACAGCTAGTCTGCTCCGGAAAACCGCTGGATATTGAGGTTCCGCTGAGTCAAGTCTCCGACTATAACATCACGTGATAATGGAGTGTGGGGCACTATACCCCAAAAGGGAAATCGGGATGACGCCAAACATTGGAGTTGTGCAATTTCCCGCTGAACTGGTCTAGATCACCTCTGTTCTTCAGAGGCACCAGCGAATTCAAATTGGACGCCCCAATGAAAGCCAGCGTGTAACGAAAGTTGCTTAAGTGTCCGAGGAGCGAGTCAGTGTTCTCCACTGACAAGCCGGACAAGATCTTCCCCACTCTATCGCTTATACTCTCGACCTATACTATCGTCCTACTCGCCCGGCCAAGGCCGGATCATGAGATGATGGGAGAGGAGGATAACAACAATGCATCTTCAAAAAGACAGCCCTATCAGAATGTGCCAATTTCAAATGAAGTCGGTCTTTCGCGTCCTCCTGGTCGTCATGCGGGGGATGTGACAGGATCGTCAAGGAACCCGTCTCCTAGGGCAGTTCAGAACCCACAGTCCAAAAACTTCGAGATAGTCCTCGTTACAGATAACGAGTCGCGACGTCAGGTCCGCCGCCATGCAATGCGGCAATATATGCGTCAGCGGCGCTTGGACAGCATCGCTCGACTGGAGACGCCTCGTTTGCCAATTGGTGGTTGGGTCAGCCGCCAGGTACTATCGGAAGCCTCATCATCCAGCATTCCACCCTCTCCAGTTGAAGTCCCTGTCAAAGACACTTCTCCGGAGGAGGAAAAATTATCTCCGGTAAAAGATGGGGAGCCATGCACCCCAGAAAGTTGGATAGGGCCACTGATGCCTTTGGCGTCGAGATCGTCCGAAGTCAAAGCTGAAGAACCGTCCTCTCCGTCCTTCCCTATCGTTAGCTATACATTATCAGATCCTCGTTCCAGCCCTGGTCATGGGGCCGTGGAGGATCCATTTAGCTGTTATCCTATACCTGTTAGTCACTCCGACCATGAGTTAATTCAACACTGTAAGTTCTTCTTTGAAAGCCCGTGCTCCCATACAGACCACGCCGATCTTGATAGCAGAGCAAGAGGGCCGTCTGGCAGAACAATCTTGATCTCGTGTTGGCTGATGGCTTACACTGCAAAGTTATTGTGACATATCCATCCATGATGTATAAATTTGCCGATTCCGTCGCGAACAACCCAATGATGGGGATTTTCCGCCAAATCGCGCTGCATGACAGTCTTTCATTTCAGGCGATGCTTGCTATTGCCTCAAAACATCGAGCTGGAGTGGAAGGCAAGTTGGACTCTGTTCAGAGTCTCACTCATAAAATGCGGGCGCTTCGATTAATAAATGAGCGAATACAAACAGACTCCCAAGGTCTGCAAGACGGAACAATATACGCTGTAGCCACAATGGCAGTGATTGAGGTAAGTAAAGCTCCCTTATGGTCTGGAATTTGCAAGTTGCTCATGCCGTCAAGAAATGGTCAAAGGATGCTTCTATTGAAAGGATGCACTGCATGGGACTAGCGTCCATGGTTCGGAACCGCGGCGGAATGCGAGGCATGCGGGCTTCTAGTCCTTTTTTAGAGAAGGTTCTGTACTGGTAATGCTTTAACACAGTCCAATTGTAGCAGGCATGATCAGGCTGACTTGGCATAGGGTGGACATAAGCTGCGCACCCAAAGCAGTCTACACCTCATGTCTTCCATGGACCGGTGCCGTACCCGACACTTCTCCGGAGAGTCTTGACTTTCTTGCTCCTGAGGTTGCTCCTGATGTGCACCTCGCTATTCCCCACATACAGACAGCAGTAGTATCATCGGAGAGCCTATGCGATCAATATAGTGCTTGTGAGGATTTTCTGCGATTTTTTCGCTGTCTACATGGGCTGGAGAAGGCTGCGTTAAGGATTCCCGGTAATGTCACCAGAAGCAGTGCAGCTCCTCGCATCAGACGCTTCACTCCGGGAACACCGCTCCATTCCATTCTGACTATGCTTCCCGATTACGACCACGGGATTCGGGATATCCGATTCATCGATGAATACACTTGTATGTCCTGTCTGTTCTTCCTGGCCGTCGCACTCTACGACTCCTATCGCAACTCTACCAATTTTGACCGTTACCTCGACTGGCTGGACCTGGAAGTCCAAAGGCTCAACCCCTTCACCAACCCGAGCATCACATCTGTCCTCTGGATCTTTCTCAACAACGGCGGCTACCCACAAGGAGAAGCAGGCGACACCGGCGAGAGATGCTGGGTCGTGTCCCGCATGGTACGCATTGCCAAACGCCTCGAGTGGAAACGTCAGGGCACCATCTGGGACCGTCTCCGACAGGTCCTGATCAACTTTATCGTCGCCCAGCAGGAATGCGCCCTGGGGTCGGATAGCGTTGACGAAGAGGCGTTGATCGCCCGGCAACAGAGACGCCTCCAACCAAGCGAGTATTTCTGGGACGAGGACGAAATGCGCGAGGAAATATTGGGATCGCAATCGTCGTCGATCCTGACGCCGTATCCTCAGTCGCAGACAACTATTGTGGTATAATCACATGCCCTGATTCTTGGCCGATATCAGAAAGGCATGGAAAAATGAATTGTACGATGTTTCCGGGAAAACAACTGCAATATACCAAGAACATATTACGACGTGATGATTGATGACATGTATTCCTATACTAACATGGAATCTGCTTCACTGTACATGATTGTACTATTGTACTTAGCAACCCTTTGAAAACAAGAATTGTAACCTCATAATACGAAATGTCAGAAGAAGAATCCATCCAAGCTCATTGACATCTCATTACTAGGTCTATCGTATATGCACATCAATCAGGTGGGTATTGGACTGTCTCTCTATAACACGAAACACAGAAGCAACGGCCATCCATCCATCCGGCACGCCATCGAAGAAAAAGACAAGATCACTTCCAGGGCAGACAATCATCCATAAACGAGGAGGAAAGGTATAACAAGCAATTAATCCTGCCGGATCTCCCGTCAACAGCGGCATATCATAAGGAAATAAAATTAAAAAAACCAAACGATCAATTCCCATGTATCGAACACATCGAGGTCTAACGAGAAGAAAAGAATACTGCTGGGTATTGAGGCTGCCTCCGCACTTCCCCCACTTTTTGCTTTTTGGTAAATGAGTTCGAGGTAGTTCATTTTGATGCTGGAACATCGGCACAAATCATTAATAACATTAAAAGAAGCACGAGCGCTGGGCGGATCCATGGCATGACATTAGAGGGATTCTACGTCGGCTTGTCGCATCCGATTCTGCCAAGGAGGGCCTTGCGATCGCTCTGATCGCCGAGTGGGATTCGGCCCCGCGCGCGAGGTCGCACGCTGGCTGAGCCGTTCGAGGCTCGTCGCCAGTCGGCATTCGCCCCGTCCACACCGACTGTGCTGCTGTTGGGTGCGTCCTTGCCCGCGGATCGGACTTCCGCTTCCTCTTCGTCGTCGCTTCGAGTGTCCTCGGCATTTCCGGTTCGGAGCACGTTCACGGCCACGCGGACAACCATCACAAACCATATGAGAGAGAGCAATTGTAACGCCAGAAGAAAACCAAGGAAAATCCACTTGACGGTGCGATTCATGCAGATGGGGCCGTTGATGTCCAAGAACGGGTTAAAGAGGTAGCGGAATCGGTTCGGGTACCCATCGGTGGAAATCAGCTCCGCGGTGGTACCGGAGTAGCAGCCGTAGGCCATTGCATCAGGGACATCCTTGTAGATAGACCAGCAGAGTAGAGGGTAGAAAATGTGACGCGTAATCAACCAGGTCACCATGAACAGACAGAAGGTGATGTTGCAGCAAAGCTCGAACTTGAAGTACTTGAGAATCTTGGCAGTCTGTCGCGCAAATGTCAGCTCGACCAATTTTCGGAGGGGAGATGAATCTTATGGCATACCGGCAGCAACAGGTCGACAATGTCCATCAGACACAGTACAACGTTCGAAACATTATAAAAACCGTAGATATAGGCAGAGGTCAAGAGAGTGCTGGTGAGGATGTGGTGAGTCAACATCTGGTAGTGATCCTTTCGCCTTTCTTCCATGTTGATAACCAGGATCTGCTGGAACCAGAATGACAGCTGCGCCAGGAGATACCACTTCAGGTTTGCAGAGACCCCCCGCGCGGGCCATTGAGCCCAAATGGCCTTGAAATCCATCCAATAATAAGAGTTTGTCCAGATATACTACATCCTGCATGTCAGTTTGACCGTCTAGAAGGGCAATGAATGCAGCGAGACAAACCATTCCAAACGTCCAGAAGAACGCATAGTACATCCACATCCACGCCTGCTCGGCAAACCGATTTGAAGCCTTCCGCTTCAATCCCGCATACCTGGCAGCTGGTCGGAAGATCCATTCAATGGCAGTCGCTCGGACGGCGGTGAATGTGATTGCGGAGCTGATAACAAAGTACACATCGTCAAAGCCTTGGACATAGACCCCTTCGGAAGGCTGGTAGTACGACAATTGGAAGAACGGCGCCGTGTATGGTCGGAGTGTGGGGTAGAGGTTATGAGCAGCTAAAAGCGTGCCAAGGATAGTCAATGAGACTCCTAAATACGCATACAGAGCAACGGTCAGCCATTGAGTCCAACTCTGTCACAATGACAATCGAGCGCATGCGGTGGGTTCCTCCGGCGCAGATCCAGGTTAAGCGATCGATTGGAGCAGTGTAAACCCATCAATGGACTCCAACCCAAACAAATTGGAAATTAGACGCATACCGATTTGATTCGCGTCCATCCATTCCCGAAAGGTCGCTTCTTTGGCAGCAGTTCGGTGACCGGTGGACACACAAGTGTTAAGCTCCGAAACGGATTGCGATGGCGTGGACTCGTCTTTTGCCATGACAGTGGTTTCGTGATCCCGAAGATCTAGGGATCACTGATGCTCGGAGGAGCAGCAACAGTAACCGTGTCTGCGAAGAAAATTCCAAAAAGTCAATCGCTAGCCACAGAAAATGAGTATAATGGACGAAAGTTTCGCAGGTAGGTTGGTCGGATAAAAAGAGAGTACCTAGAACTGCTCCGGATGTACCCTGGAATAGCTACTTGACAACAACCAGACTTCTGTGACTTTCTGCCACTGGGACCCGCTGTTCCGCAGCGGGTACCTGTTGGGGGGGTGAGAGAAACGGCTGAGAGGAGGGACGGTGTCTTTTCAATGGCAGACACACAGAAAAGAGTCAACAAAATAGTGCGTTAGTAGAGTTGGTGTCAGTGACAGGTGTCAATGACAGTGATAGACAGAGATTGGAAACCAACCTCAGGAAAAGTCGGCCTCGTTTGTTGAAGCCCTAGAGGTGGACTTAGCCTTTCGTAGCTATCCCAATGTCCCTGGAGAAGAGGAAGTGGTAAAGGTATCCGTCGTACGTATGTTGGTGGGCACATGAAAACGGTGGAACGTAATTTATTACGCCAATGAAACACAAGATAATGAGGGGATTGTTTCGAATTATCCAGACAATCCACAGGGGAACCCCACAATATGGCTTTTTCGACTCTTATGGACGCGTACTTGGAACTTGCTATTTGCACTACGTTTCCACTGTCCATCATGCACCCTACAGTCCTCCCACTCACGTAAGGTATGTAGGAACAATAGGTACTTTCATGTTGATCATACACTGCTCAGGTTGTATACTCCGTAATACATCAACAAACAGGCTCACCGCCCATCAACAAAAAGGCCCTGGACCCTTTCCCTTACAGGTACCTTACGTTCTTACCTGCCTTGGCCTGAATAAAGTTTTCGGCCTCCGCATTTGCTGTCCCGCATCTCTCGCTTTCTCCCCAATCGCAGCAGCTGAATACTTCACACCCTCTATCCAGGGGTTGTCCCGCATCGACTACTTTTGCAGCTAATGTATGCTTCCTGGTCGTCTGATCATCGAGTTCGTGATGCAATCAGATCATCACAGACATATGTACTCAACGAATCAGAGCAGCGGATAATAACAATGTCATTGGAGTATGTAGATGTTTGTGTGGTATATACCAATGTGCTAGAGCATGGCGATAAGCATACTTTAGATTGACCTTGACGCACCAACTACACTGGGGTACAACTACCTCTCCGGCGGATCGACCTCATCTAAGCCTGCCGTGACGCCATTGACATATTCAGCCGCACTGACACCCAGCTTGGCCAGATCTACTCCTCCTTGTCCCGCCATCGCCCGGGACATGGCTCGCACCACTTCCTCTTCCTCCCAGATACTGCTCGGAGCCATTGAAGCATCGCCACCCGTGTTGCCAGCGCCCATCGCGACAACAGTCCGCCAATACGCATCATCCCGGTCCTTCAAGACCTTATCTCTAACCACGGCATTCCGCGTCACGCTCACAGCATGCAATTTCGAGCTAGCTCCAGCCAATGACGTTAGCGAAGTCGAGACCAGCTGGTCGACTTGATCGGCCTGTGAGGGAGGCGCGAAGAAGAATCGGTTCGTGGCGGTTACATAGATTAGCACGGCGCAGATCCCGTCAAAGATCGCAAAGACCAGCGGACGGAGCAGGGTGATTTGGTGGTACAAGCTCGATGGCGGCATCATGCCCGCTCGTACAGCAGCCGAGGCAGACTGGACGGGGTCGTATGTTGAGACAATGTAGATGTCGATGGCGGCCAAAGCCAGCCCGGCGATAGTGAACTTGTTGCGCCAGCTGGCGGCTTCCCGGCCGGCAAAGGGTGCCGAGGTCACCATGCCCACGAGGACCATATGCAAGAGATGCGGGACCAATGTGTTGAAGGGGAGGTAGTAGAGGAGGTATGTTTTCAGGTTGTCGAGCGAGCAATACTCGCAGGATGTCAATGCATCGGGTCCGTAGCGCAGGTACACCCGCCGCGCTACCACTGAGGTGAACTTGGATCGCAGCAGATTGTCGGTCTCGCTCAAGGTATTGTCTGGCCGGAACCGTGCCAGCCTGCTAAAAATGACATCGGTCGGGGTGTTGATGCGCGATCGCGTGAGGGTGAATATACTTGGAGGAGGAGCATGAGGGTTGAAGGGGAGGCTGAGGAGGAAACACAGCAGGATGGCGAAGAAGAGGACATTGACGGCACGGCGGGTAGCCTGAGGGAGGGCACGAGGTGTGGGACGTGATGCTATAGCAACTCGGAGACTGCGGTAGAAGTTGATGGCCCGAGGAATGATGACGGGGGCGAAGAAGATCAATAAAGACTTGATGCTGTGGAGTGGTCAGAATGAGAAATTTGACGTCAGATAAGATTCAGACACTCACGTCGCAAACGATATCCCGAGTTCAACCATCTTGCCCGTCAATTTGTTTCAACCACCTGTCTGCCACATGTCCTTGAGATGGATGATGACAGCTAAGTGGATGAGGCTGATGGCCATATTGCTGATCTTATCGCCGATGCCAAGCGGCGCTTAACGTTGGCCAATTAGCGGTCGTTTGTATAGTTCTTTTGATTGACACACCAAGAATCATTTTGGCCAGCTGAATTTGAAAATTAAAATGCTACAGAAATACAACATAGGACAATGTCTGAATAAAGTCATGGGAGTGCAGCCAGTAATGCCAAGCTCTGTAAGGAAAGAATTTTTCCAGTGAACGCCCTCGCTAATATACCCTTGGGACAACAATCCGTTCAAACTCCCCTCTCACCGCAAAGATGGTAAGGCCTAGACCTGCGAAGAATACATTGCCGGATGATGAGATAGGTCTGGAATGGTCACACCCGCTGAGTCTCGCGAGTATTTGGATGACGCGGCATCGTTCAAGTTGATTGGTGGGGATATCTTCAGTGGAAAGCGAGTCATGCTCCGCATGGAGACCTGCCTCCTCACAGGTGAATGCGAAGGAGTATATGTTGGGAGTGAGTCCTCTCGCTTTATACCGAGTTTGAACGATCGCTGGGAGCTTGCTCGGGTGACGACTTTCTGAGGCGCTACCGCCCCGTAGACCCGTACATGACGTGCAGTGACCCCAGCGGCGCGGTCTGAGAAAATGAAGCTCTACAGTAATCAACAAAGTCAGCGTTCGCTTCGTAGGCCTTGAAAAGATAAGGTCCACTTACCGACACCAAATTGATGACACTCATGACCATAGCCAGGATACCTGCGGATACCACAATCCTCCAGAACGCAAGGCCAAGTGATTCCTGACTCGTGGCAGGCGTATTCAGATCGCCCAAGACACCCATTCCAAGTATAAGCATTGCCACAGCCAGTGTGACGAAGCCGGAATCTTGGCCTAGCAAAGGCCAATTGCGGTCAAAGTAGCCGCGAAAGAAGGGTAATTCTGAGAGTATAAGAAAGACTGTCGTGCGTCAGTATTCTTGTCAGGTCCACGCTTCACCATAGTTGGGGGACCACTTACTGCTGATTCCTGCAGCCATGACATGGGAGACTGCTTGGAAGAAGAAGAAGCTGCTTAAGAGAGAGATCTTCACTATCATCACAATGCTGGCAGCGATGATGTCCAGGAAGACGATAATATTGAGTACTCGTATGGCGTTCAAGATCACAAATCCCGGACCAGCCAAGGACTCTTTCAATGAAGCCATCATACTTAAAGTATGTGTTATCGCAAACGAAAGCACGTTTCTGCACGATAAGACGCCACTACCAAAAGATCATGCAAGAATATCGAGGACTCGGATCGAGTTAAGATGCGTATTCAGATGATGCTACGAGAAACAGTAGAAGAAAATGGAGAAACGAAAGTAGAGGCACAAGAACTGACCAGCAGGACTGTGGTGGCTCAGAGACTGAAGAAAAGAGAAGGAGAGAAAGAGCAGACTGGCGAGGTCTACTCGAATGTTAAAGAAAGACCAAGGGATTGAACAATGAGGCGACAAAAGATAAGAGCCTTATTGAACCAGCATTATTCAGGTTCTTTGCTTTGGGCTCTGGCGCCAGACAATCCTTGTTCTATTCAGAACAGGTAGCGAGGCCCGAGTCAATGTAGAAAGACAAAGGTTGCTGACAATGGGCATGGATTCTGAATCTGAAACACAACCTAATGGACATTGAGAATCAAGCCATCTATTCATGCCATGAACAATGGTGATGTCTTCAGAAATGGCATAGACAGTTGGACACTGATCCAAAAATAATCTTGCTCCTCGAGTTGCGGTTTATCCTTACAACCATTCTGCAGAGCGCTGTCTCGTAAGTACGGCCCATCACAGTGGTCCTACTCGAACTGAAATTAGCCAGCCTTGGTTTGTATGCTACTGTTCCCAAGCCTGTATTTTCTCAGGCGTCTAGCTCGGTTACAAGTCCTCATTGCGAAAACAAAGCGAGTAGCTATCACTGCGAGATTCTCAACCAGCCTGAAACAACCGTCTCATTCTCTTGCCTTGTTACATCTGACGATTGGCCGTCGTCCAACTATTTTTTGCTTGCTTCAAGCGATGTTTGGATAGACCTCACTGGGCTCCAATGATCCTCTCCCGGCTCTCGCATCCCAAACGAGATACTTAGTCTCGAATCGGGCGCTTACTCTTGTAAGGACCCGCAGGAACTTGTTGTATGTTAAGAACCAGTGCCCTATAGGCCCGCGACTTCACAAGATTAGGCGCCTGCGAAGGCTATATGATTTCATGACGCCAAGTTCTCCATTGAGATTTCGGGAAGATACTATCTTGCGAGGCTGAGGTCAGAGCTCACCAGCGGACTTAGGACCTAGTTCCCGGTGCAATTGATGACATCGGCCTCGGTAGAGTGGACGCAGGATATATCTACGACAATGAGTACCACACTGCACCCCGGTCATATTCGACCAATTAGCCAACTAGTCCAGCCGCCCGAGATCCTAGCGCTTCTATAGCATTCAAAACGCGAGACGCGATAAGTCCGACTGTCATGGTAACCCAATATC